AATTTGGTGAATATTTTTGCCATTTTGGTAAAAAGTGATATTTCAACTACTTGTTAAAAACCGCAAGTCCAATTGCTTGATATTACATATATAGGTACTACATGTGGACCTCACTGAGATTTGTTCATTTTGTAATGATATCTTTAATTCTCTAATGTTGGTGAATATTTTTGTCATTTTTGGTAAAAAGTGATATTTACGACTTCTTGTTGAAAACCGCAAGTCTGATTGTTTTGATACTATACATATTGTTCATTTTCTAATGATATCTTCAGTTCTTTAATTGGAATGTGCATTGCTAACAGCGGGGCTATCTCAGCCGAGAGGCTGCTTGTTATTCTCCATAATAGTGCGTTTTTATTCCCAGCTAGTCGGTTTTATTGTTTCACATTTTATTACAATGCGATTTACATACCGTCTCAATTTACGGTGTAATAATGGGTAGGGTTCGTGGGGAAACAGTCAAAGTCAAGATCTTTATCATTTTTGTTTTGGGATGTTTTCGGTCTTACGCAAACTCTCGACGCAAAGCAATTTTCACCATAAAGTTTTTCAGCACGATTTGACCTGAAACCACTTCCTTTGACCTAACAGGTCATGTCTTTCATTAACCAATCAAAATGCTGTGTCGTAATGACGAAATTTTCCAATTATTATCAATAATTTTTTTTAACGCAATGCGGAAGTGAATTACCACAATGTTAAAATGGGATCTGTAGCACTGATTTTGATGAAAAAACGGTTATTTTTTACCTAAAAACTGGCAATTTGCAATTTCCGAAAGGTAAACCACGGTTAATAGTAACCGTGGGGAAACTGAGTATATTTATAAACACCTTTCATGGTTAACAGGTCACATCGTTCACACCCCTTTCACGATAGACTCAAAGTATTAAGTAAAACCATGTCCAATAACCAGGTACACAACTTGACGATGACATTTTTGGCTACTAACAATTCTAAAATTTCAGCCCCTCATTATTTGCCAGGTTTCAGTATTTTATTGGCCTCTAAATTTTCGTCTTCACTGAAAATTGCCGACTTGTTCTTCTTTGAAAATTTCGACCAGTTTCGGTTTTTCGTCAAGCGAAAAAAAAATCGGTATGGGCGTCCAAACGAGACTACTTTCGTTTCTGGTTTCTGATTGACTGAGAGATTTTTATTTTATTGGTAACGAAAGTATATTATAAACGAACTTTCAAATAGAAACGAACACAACTGCATTGTGTAGTAGCAAAAGATCATGGATGCGAAATCCGGTCATGCTGTGTTTCACAATTGTTGATTATTACTCAGTAGTGATTATAATAATATACAAAAAATAAATTCGTTGAATTGTCATGAAATGCAAATAAAATTCAACTTAGTTTCATCGTAAGCGAACAATTCTGGTCGCATATAAACGCTCAATGCTGTAAGATATCCGCCATGTTCTCTTAGGTCAAATAGGTCAAATCGCTAATTAACCAATCAAAAAGCTGGATGATGTCAACGTATTCAAATTACCATAGCTCATTTAAATATGTTAATGTTATTGAACGCAACACGAAAGAGACTTCCTGATGTTGTAGTTAGATCTTTTGGCTTGGATTTTGATGGGAAAACGGCATGATTTTTTTAAATCAAAGAATTAGTTGTTTTCCAAAAATAAACTGAGCCTTTGAAGAATAATTTAACATTGTTTACAGTGATAACAGCTCATTGTCAAAACAAAGCTTACCCATTCACGCTAGTCACAATAAACATACTCTTGAATAGACGTCAATTACTACAGTAAAACTTACTCTATTTTAGGCGTCAGGAATGATTGAAATGTCCGAAAAATGACGCCAAAATACACCTTAAAAGTCCCATTTTATTTTATTTTTAATCCCATTTTATTTATTTTTTAATCAAAACTGCCGTTTAACGGCCCAGGGCGAATTTACGGCAGAATCTGGTCCCTCAAATAAGGGACACGTGAGCTTTGATTCTAACCGGACATATTGCACAGGAGATACAAACTGTCCCAGTTGCTAAACTTCCATGTATCTTTTGTCCAATGGGTACCTGTACTTTGAACATTCGCAAGTTTTCCTAGGTGGTGTGAAACAGCTTTGTTCGGAACTGGACGAAATTTCCATGAAAAATAAATCGCAGAGAGAGGTAACTTGATATATTCAACAACTCTTTTGACCTATTAGTTTTGTGCTGACCTCTTCTCCGCGTCTTGATGTTTTGTTTTTCTTTTCATAATACTTACTGATTGATGACTTTGTTTTGATTTTGAGTTGTTTAGCCTACAACCTTCGCTTTTACCGTGAAAGATGCGGAAGTTTACGTCAATTTGACAGACATTTTTTTAGAACTAACTAAGCACACTGTCTATCATCCCCATTTTTTTCATTTGCTGATTTCTATTCTGAAAAATTCGACCGTCTGAAAATGCACCTTAATTTTGACAGATTTTCAACACCAATTATTTAACATCGGTCGAAATTTTTGAGTTTTCATGGTAGTCAAAGAAATATGGATTACTTCAGTATTGCAACATCAGGGTTCATCCTGAGTAAATGACAGAGTAAAAAGGATGCGAACCATGTTGTGAACATACGTCACGCACTCTGAAGTTAATGTGAGTTTTCTCATAAAAGCACGAACCAAACTACCATACCAATCACAATATCACGATTATTATAAAATAAAACCCACTTTTTACACACATATTTAAAATATCGTCGCCGCCAGGTAAAAACACTCTGGTCTTATAATCGCGATTGCCCTCAACTCGATAAATGTCTAAAAATAGAGGGATGGGCTTATACTCGGGGAGGGGCTTATGAGCGGGGAAGTACGGTACTTTAACGTAATTGGGCTTTCACTGTTAGAATACTGTGGTTCAAATGCATAATGTTGCATCCCAAGTTCTAAAAAGCACATTGTGCATATAAAAGTTGAGTTTATACTAGTGGTACACAATGCTGGGCAGCAGGAATGTCTATGTGTACAATGGTGTATAAGAATGTGATTACATACTAAATTGTCATAGCTTTGAAAAGTACCCAGATGTTAAATATGTTCGTTCGTTATTTACCCCCCTCCATGAATGGCCTCCATGGGATTTAATTGTAAGTATTTCAAATGCCTCTCCAAGCTACAGTTAAAACAAAATTAAACCACTGCAATTTTATTTCAAATACAGTTTACAATATACACAACTATAAATAAGTCCGCATTGAGGTTCGCTTTAAGTCAATGAATCAAATTACGATGTCAAAAAAAATAGTCATGCGGCATGTAACTAGAGTGGAATTGACTAATTGGGCATTTGAACACAGTAGTCAACACACGTCATTTGGTCACCTGTAATCAGTCACGGTGGCAATGTCTGGAAAATCAAGTTGTATGCACTTATATGCATGTCTCTTATCATGCCAGTGCCTACTACACTGCCTTTTAAATACTAATCTGAGTTATCAGAGCAGCAGCTACTCGGCTAAATGGTATATGGATTAAGAAATTTTGATGTTCAATTCTTTGTTTGCCCCCATTAATGATTACTGATATATATATTCACAAACTACTCTGTATTTCATAGGGATGATATAGTATCGTCACTGACAAAGCTACAAGAGAGTCTGAAGATATACACAAAAACACAAAATGACTGTAAAGACATTGCCAAGCTTGGTAATGAGCTGAATGTACAAAGAACCACACTGGATGCTGCTCTAAAAGATAAACAACATAGTATACACACTCTGCATAAAAGGTAAAACTTGTACTGTGTAGTTTGAGTAGTTTATCTAGCTGTTCATTATTAGGTGGGGTTAGTTGACGAATGGATGGATGAGGCAGGTATGCTGCCTGGGGTAGGTCCCCTCTCATATTCAAATTGTTCATGTATTCAGTTCAAATGTCTTGAGTCCTATTTTTGCAACCTTTTTTGGAACGTTTAAAGTGCCTGTGCAATGCCCACCCACTCGCTTCCCATTTTAGATCTGTGCCCCACTGAAATGGGAAATTATTGATTTTTTTGCTGAAAATGATTACTCATATCCAAGTAAATTTGAGATATTTCTCGTGCTGTAGCCACGCCCACCTATCCTGAAACGGTCGACTGTTTCCGGATTTCCGACTCTCGCCGAAAGTGCGCCACCAAATGCAAAAATATGAGAGGAAACCATACCTCTGGGCCGTACTTTTATATCACTGTCATTCAATGTACAACTGTACTTTTAAACGATATACATTTTTTAATCGGTGTTTCTTTTGTCTATTTTTTTTTTTTTTTGAGAGCGAATTTTTAGAAATTGTTTTCACAACAAACTTTTATGATGGTTAAACGTTGTGTTGTGGGCGGTTGCAGCAATGCGTGTAGTCATAGTGTAAGTATTTCCACGTTTCCAATCGATCCGAAGGTGCGAAATCGGTGGACGAAAGCCGTGAAAATAACCAGAAAAGGTTGGGGTGGACTTCTTCCTAACAGTGTCATATGCAGTGTCCACTTCATCTCAGATTCTTTTTTTTTTTGAAAAACTGTCCATGACAAAACAGCTAGGTTTTAACGAGAAACGCCGACAATACAAAACGTTTTCGAAAAAATAGATTCCGGACCAGCCCATGATCACTGAGACGAATTTCAGAAGGGAGAGAGACGTAGAGTACGTGTTTCAAATGATTTTATTTTATTTGCGATCCTGATTATCGCTTTATAGAGACCACCCGTGTTATGTAAAAGGTAGCAGTAATTTTGATAATGACACGAAAACGAAGCGTCGGACAAACAGGAAATTACGCAGCCCTCAGGCTGTTTTCATTTTCGCAGGCTAAAAGTGTTGCCTTTACTTGCAGCTTGATCGGCGTAATAATTTACGGAATAAGAATCCGAGCTTGAGCTGTCAATGTATTTTTTTAATATGATGTCATAATCATGAAAATCACGCTAAATC